TGTTAAAACGGTTGACATTTTTCGACTTAATTTGGTCGACTTGAAATAGATTTTTTGTTCATCAAAATCTGCCATAGTTACTCTGCTTTTGGATATCAGATTTCAATATTTGACAGCTAACCACGCCTCACCTGTCATATATACAGGGTTGTGCCCATGGTAAAAAATGTTGCTTACGGCATCCCCAATAACATATTTAAATTTCATCCAAATATCACGGGTAACCAATTTCCATTTAAATATTGCGGGGTCCTTTGTCGGAATTCCACTAAAATTTTATGTGAGTCGACAGAAATTACTCAGAATTTCACTAAATTTTAATTCAATTTTTAGGAATTCCGCCGAAATTTTTCGTGGTTCCATGGAAATTCCACGGAAATTCTGTCTAATTCCAAGGGAATTTTTCAGATTCGATGTAATTTCACTGGAATTCCACAATAAGATTTTAAGGAATTCCATATATGTAATTCAACGAGAATTCCTTGGAATTTTACTCGACATTTCATCGAAATTTAATGTTTGTCGACACAAAGTGAAATTGTATATAATTTGATGGAAATTTTGCGAATATTTTTTTTTATTTTTTTTTCGAAATACCACTGAAATTTTCCACAATTCTATTGAAATTCCAAATTCCATAATTTTTTTAAAACTTTACTGAAATTCCCCAGAATTTCCGGGAATATTAATGACACTTCAAGTAATTTCTTGAAAATTCACCGAAATATATTGAAATTTCATATCATTACATGAGAATTTTTCCAAATTTCACCGAAATTCCATGTTTTTAGCCGAGGGGTAGGTCACTCAATAGAATTTGTACACCTAATTACAAATACATTCAATTACATGTATTTTTTTGTAATTGAATGTAATTGAGAATGTAATTGAAGGTATAAAATTAAATGTATTTGAACATAATTGATGTAATTAGGTGTAATTAAGTGTAATTGAATATAATTAAATGTAATTAACTTTTTTTGGAAATAAAGATGAATAATGGAGAGGGCATGTATTTATTTCTAATTGACAGTAATTGATTGTAATTGAAAGTATTTGAATGTAATTAAATGTAATTGGATGTAATTGAACGTAATTAAACGTAATTGAATGTAATTGAATATAATTGAAAGTAATTGATAAAATGTATTTGAGCGGTATTTGAACGTAATTGAGTGTAATTATTTGTAATTGAGTGTAATTATTTGTAATTAAGTGTAATTAAATGTAATTGAACGTAATTGCAAGGTAATTGAGGTAATTAAATGTATTTTTTCAATTACATTTCAACATTTGTACACCTAATTGGGGAGTGACCTACCCCTCGTTTTTAGCCAAAAACTCCTCGGAATTCCACTTGTGAAATTTCCTCTAATTTTTCTAAAATTCAGTAAATCGATGGGAATTTTTCGGAATTTCAATTTCACTAAAATGCCATGTTCTTAACTGGGAATTCTTTGGAATAAAAATAAAAATTCGTTATTATATTAGGATTTTTCGAAATTTCACTGGAATTTCTTATGAAACGATAAGAGTTGTTCAAAATTCCATTTAAATTTCATGTAATTCCCTGACAATTCCTTATTGGAATTCCATGCAATTGCATTCGACGAAAATTCTTCGTAATCCATGTAAATTTTTGAAACTTTTTTAAAAATTTTTATATAATTTAACGAGCACTGAAATTTCATGTTGAGAATTTCAGTCTAATTCCATCTAACTTTTTAGAATTCCTCCATACAACTCATTCAAGATTTCATGTAATTTCTCTAAATTTCATATTTCATGTAATTCGAGAGGAATTAAAATTTAATGTGAATTCTATAGAAACTCCGTAAAAATTGCACGTCACATTTCACACCATAAAATTCGATGGGATTCTTCGAATTTCTTTTTCTTCGGAATTACAATGAAATTCTTCGGAATTCAACTAAAATTTCAAGTTATTCCATGAGAATTCCGCGAAAATTTTAAGTAATTCCATAGAAATTCCTTAACATTTCACCAGAAGATTTCATGGAATTCTGAGACAAATTTTTTTCGGAATTACAGTATAGGATTTCAAGAAATTCTTCAGAATTCCACTAGGATTTCAATTTCAAAGTTTCATAAAAATTCCATATTTTTTTTTTTAACTTTACTAAAATTTCCCAAAATTTTATCACTAAAATATTCTGGAATTCCACAAACTTTTCATAAAATTCTTTGTAATTTCGTTGACATTTCATGTAATTTCTTAAAAATTCCTCGGAATTCACTAAAATTTTATGAGAATATTTTGAAATTCCACGTTCATAGCCGAAAATTTTTCGAAAGTCCAATGAAACTTCAAGGAATTTTTCAAAATTTCATTTATTTTCATAAGAATTTTTTGGAATTTCATTGAAATTCTCTTTTAATAGCCAGGAATTTCTGGGAATATTAATGAAACTTCAAGTAATTTCTTGAAAATTCACCGAAATATATTGAAATTTCATGGAATTTTTTGGAATATCACCGAAATTCCATGTTTTTAGCCAAAAATTCCTCGGCATTCCACTTGTGGGATTTTCTGAAATTTTACTAAAATTAAGTAAGAACTGAAATTTCATGTTGAGAATTTCGGTGTAATTTTATATAATTGTTTAGAATTCCTCCATGTAATTCATTTAAGATTTCGTGTAATTCGATCGTAATTTCACTGAAATTTCATGTAATTCTAGAGGAACTAAAATTTAATGTGAATTCTATGAAAAATTTTACAAGTAATTTCTTTTTCAGAATAACATAATTTTACCGAAATTCCTCGAAATTCCACTAAATTATGGAATTCTGAGAGACTTTTGGGGATTCCAAAGAATTTTTGGGAAATTCAAAGGAAATATTTTTTACAAATGTTAATGATTTTGCAAGTTTTTTTTGGTTTTAATGAAATTTTGTTAGATTTTGTAAGATTTTATGCAATTTCAAAAGATTTTGTGGAATTTTGTTAAATTTTTAAGGATTTCAAAGAATTTTATGGATTTTCAGTAGATCTTATGAGATTTTGACTAACTTGTACACACATTTTGACCAGTTAACCACCCTTCGGGTTTTCAGCTTAAGAATGAAAAATGTAATTTCATGCAAGAATTATTGACCTACATGAGTCATCTGATTAACAGGTTTGGTTTTTTTCCAAAGGGGTGTAGCATGGAAATTGGATTTTCAAATATTTCAAATGCTTGTATTTTGGAAACCAGTGAAGCTATTGGCATTAATCTTTTGCCCAATTGTAGCTTTTAATAAGGGCTACAAAAAAAGGTTATTTAAGTTTTGAAGATAATACGCCTGAAAGCTTTTTCAAAATTTAAGGTAAAGTTTCAACTTTGAGCCTCAATATCTTCAGAAGTATTTGAGATATAGAAGTGAATCTTATTTTATCTTGAGGATAATTTAATTCTGATTCAGAATATATAATATTACATTAATTTGTTACAATAATAACCGAGTAATCAGCAACTTTGTGAAAGAATGTCAGATTATTGAAATTTTTTGAGTCCAGAAATTGCAAAAATCGTTTTTATTTTTTTACAAGGCTTCAAAACCTAAAAAGGAAAGTTGCGAAAATGCTTTTCTACTAATTTTAATCTCTCCCTTCGATTGGTGAATCAAAAATTCGAAAAACTAAAAATTTAAAAATTCGAACTTTTCCAAAGGTTGCATGGAGATTTAATTCCCAAATATTTCAAAGAGCCATATTTTGGAAACCAGTGAAGCTATTGGCATGAATCTTTTGCCCAATTGTAGCTATTAATAAGGGCTACAAAAAAGGTTATTTAAGACTTCGAGCCTAAGGGCTTAGTTTTCAAGATAATACGCCTGGAAGTTTTTGCAAAATTTAAGGTAAAGTTTCAACTTTGAGCCTCAATATCTTCAGAAGTATTTGAGATATAGAACTGAATCTTATTTTATCTTGAAGATAATTTAATTCTGATTCAGAATATATAATTTTACATTAATTTATTACAATAATAACCGAGTAATCAGCAACTTTGTGAAAGAATGTCAGATTATTGAATTTTTTTTTGAGCCCAAAAGATGCAAAAATCATTTTTATTTTTTAATAAGGCTTTAAACCCTAAAAAGGAAAGTTCTGAAAATGCTTTCCTACTAATTTTAACCTCTTCTTTCGATTGGTGAAATCAAAAATTGCAAAATCTATAAAATTTAAAAATTCGAATTTTTCCAAAGAGCAATGCAGCTCTTTAAGAATATAGAACCAAATATAGGGCATCCGATAGGTAATGCATATTTAATAGAAACATCTTATGTGTCTTAATGTTAATAAACAATTTCTCATAAGTAGTATTGGTGTTTGATTTTCTAATCCAAGTTTTCATAGTCTAATACACAGTCTAATGATTTGACAAAATGTAGTTAAAATAATTATACCCTAATGGGTCACCCCTTTAAGAAGGTAACTTATCTGTGTACTGATTTCTATTAATATTTAGACTGGTAATCTACTGAAAAAACAAAATATGACTTGGCAACACTGAAACTGGCTCACAATGGTCCTGGCGATTATCATCATCGTTTATAAAATGTGTATAACAAAGAAATTTCAAGCATTTATGGCAGTAACTAGACATTTCATTGCTTCACAAATCCTGGTGAAATTCGGATCGTTTTCGTTTTGATTTATTTCCTTGGTAAATGGGCTTTACAGATCCGATTAATGAAAGGTCGTCTTCAGATTCAGAAGAATACATTTCATATTTCGACAATACTATGTTTAGTGTCCGATATTTGTAAAAGTGACGTCATCAAAAATTCAGTATTTTTTAAATTCAAAAATTTCACGAATAGTCGTAATTGGTTTTACGTCTGTTGAAATCAACGTTTTTGATATACGCCAATAATTTCAAATGACCCATCTCATCATAAAGTATCATACGATACTTTGTGAGGCTGAATAAGTATGTACAAATTTTGAAAAAAAAAAATGAAATACGACAGTTCGTGAGATAGGATTATAAATTAATTTCCGCAATGAGAAAAATATATTCAAAAATAATTTAGTGTACAAAAAAAATATAATACATATACTTATCAGGTGAAGAGTAGTTAATAAGTGTCACGAGTAGGCATTTTGTGTACATTCTCTCCCTCCAAATCTTCGTTTTTGTTGAGCCAAATCGAACTGCAATCTCCAACTTGCGGTTCCGCTATAAAAAAAAATAAAATCGAAATTAATTGATTATCGAACTTCAACAACTTGAAATTAAACGCCGCTGGCTATAAATTACGTAAATGGGCCCCCGGCTGGCTAATAATAATTAATCGAGAAAAGGGAAAAAAGCTAAAGTTAAATATGACTTTTATTTTTATAAATGCATCACACGAACACCTATAAAAAGGAACAATGTAATAAAAATGGCTTGTGATTATAACATTAAACATATTCTTTGATTAAACTAAAAATTTATGATATTAATACATAATAATATTCTGACGAGAATAATCCTGTCGAGTCAGGGAGTCGTTTTGTACTGACGGGCCTTTGTCCCTGGATGTACTGATTCAAAGACGATTGAGGTTGATAATAATTTATTTATATATTACTATGGATAACATTGCAAGGTGCAAAAAGGTAAAAGAAAAAATGAAATAAAAATAAAAAACTATTTCCAACGGCAGCCTAACTTTAAAAAATAACCTGCTCCTCTACCTTTTTTTAAGGTTAAAATGACATTTGACATTTTGACAAGTACATTGTTGCCGGTTAAGGGGACAATTGACACTACACTGTTGTCAGACACCTACACTTTTGTCAGATTCTCTAGGAGGTAGGAGAGAGATTTTTGTCACTGATCTCTTATATGTACCCTTTTCTGACTTGATAGTCACCACTCTGACTAAACCATCATGACCAGGATGAACTTCTTGAATTTTTCCCATTTTCCACTGCATGGGGGGGAACGTTGTCTTCATGTAGTAAGACCAAACGTCCTACATCAATATTAGCTTCGGATTGATGTCTCCATTTCGAACGGGACTGGAGAGAACATAAATATTCTCTAGACCAATGATCCCAGAACTGTTAAAGAATGAACTTCATATGTTTATAATGCGATACATGAGATATCTTGAAATCCCAGGTAGGAAGCTCAGGGAGCGACTTCAATGCAGAGCCGATCAAAAAATGACCAGGTGTGAGCACTTGGTAGTCTTCAGGCTAAGAGGATATAAAGGACGGGAATTCAGAATTGACTCCACTTGAACGCACAAAGTATAAAAATCCTCGTAATTAAAAGTTATATTTTTCATTACCCTTTTCAAATGGTATTTTGCAATACAGATCGCAGCCTCCCATAGGCCCCCAAAATGCCACGTGATTTTATTTTCTAAAAGAAAGTCTTTAAATTTTTCTTCCTTAGTTTGATTAATGAAACCCGAAATCATTTTATTAGCAGACACAAAGTTAGCACCGTAATCAGAATATACATGAGCGCAGAGACCACGTCTACTAATAAATCTTTTAAATCCATTCAAAAAAACCTTCAGTTGACAAGTCTGACACAACTTCAATGTGCACTGCTTTAGTGCTGAAGCACACAAAAAGGCATAAATAGGCTTTAATGAATTTTCTGTTCCTGAATTTGCTGTCCTTTATTTCATACGGTCCAGCAAAATCAACTCCGCATTTAACAAATGCTCGAGAACTAGTGGTTACTCTATGTGTAGGCAAATCCGCCATTTTTTTGCACTATCTTTGATGCAGAAAATCTAAAACAAGTTACACATTTATTAATTACATTTCGAACTGTTTGTCTACAACGTAAAGGCCAAAAATGTTGTCTGATGTTTGATAAAATTAATTGAGGTCCAGCATGTAGATTTTTTAAATGCTCATATCTAATTAGTAAATAAGTGAAATGATGCTTGGACGGGAGTATTATAGGGTGCTTAGCAAAAAATTTTAACTCCGAATTAGCCAATCTACCACCAACTAACACAATATTATTTTTATTCAAAATTGGATTAAGTGATAAAAGTGAACTTTTAGATGAAATGAACTTAGAATTTTTAAAGCTATGTATTTCATTCGCAAAACATTCAAGCTGTACAAGTTTAACAAGACTAATAAGTGCTTGGATCGTTAAGTTATTCAAATTTCTGGAATCTTCTGAAGATAGACAATTGTTTTTCAATCGCAAAAGATATGCTGTAACATGGATTAGTGTGCGATAAGATGAGAACTTCAGAATGTATTCGGATGCAAAATGATTTTTCAGATTAGTACAAGACATTACAATATTTTTAACTTCAATCAAATCTGTATTATTTTCAATATTGACTTTGGGCCAACAACTTTTATCAGATGCTAACCAGGATGGCCCATGAAACCAAAACTTATTGCCAATAATATCGACTGGATCAATAACCTCGCGAAATCAGATCTGAAGGATTTTCCTTGGTTGTTACATAAGACCATTGCTCAACTCTAGACATTCTCTGGATTTTTGAAATTCTGTTCGACACAAAAGTTTTTAGTGAAGAAGGCTCACGTGCTAACCAAGCTAAGACAATCTGGGAATCAGTCCAATAATATATGTTATTAACTTCCATTTTCAAAGCTAATAAAACTGTGTGACACAGCTGAACAGACAAAACACAGCCACAAAATTCTAGACGTGGTAACGATAGAGATTTTAAAGGTGCTACACGCGATTTGGCGCAAGCTAGTCGGACAGTAATCTCTCCATTCGGATTTTCTGAAGGAAAATAAACAGTAGTTCCATAAGCAGTAACAGAAGCATCAGAAAAACAATGGAATTCAAGTTGCCTTGTTTCAGGACAAATCAAATGCCTGGATTTTTACCTCATTAAGACAAGGTACTTGATTATAAAATCTAAGCCAAACTTCCATAATACTCTCAGGAATAATACTATCCCAATCAATATTTTCAAGCCCTAATTTTTGAAGAAGTATCTTAGCCGTTATTATAACAGGACCAAGAAGACCTAATATGTCATAAATTTGACTTATAATAGATAAAATTATTCTTTTAGTGAAAAAAGTTGCATGGGGTTTAATGTTAACTGCATATTTAAATTCATCACTTGCAAAATTCCAATAAATACCAAGTGTTTTATTTTGTTCATCTTTTACAAAAAATTGATTATCAATACTGCTGGCTAAATTTCCCAAATATTTCAACACTTGATTGTTATTTGAAGACCATTGCCGTAGATTGAAATGAGCACTAGCCAAAATATCATTCGTATGTTTTATAAGTTTTAAAGCGCTATCGATATTTTCATCCCCACTCAACCAATCGTCCATATAAAAATCCTCAGAAATAGATTTACATACTTCAGGATATCGATTCATATTGTCCAAAGACAACTGTTTGAGACAACGTGTTGCCAGAAAGCTAGCTGAAGCAGTACCGTATGTGATTGTATTTAATTTGTAATGGTTTAGTTCATTAGATGATTCTGAACGCCATAGAATCCTCTGATAATCACGTTGAGATTCATCGACAAAAATGCAACGATACATCTTACAGATATCAGCGGTAAATGCTATATTATGTTTGCGAAACCGAAACATAACCCAAAACAAAGGTTCTTGAATACAAGGACCAACCTTCAACACATCATTCAAGGATAGGTTCGAGTCTGTCTTGGCAGAAGCGTTGAACACGACCCTTAATTTTGTCGTCAAAGAAGACTCCTTTAAAACGCTATGATGAGGCAAATAGAAATGGTTTTTGTCAACAGATTCTGCGGGTATGGCGTCGATAAGTAGTGACATATGCCCTGAATTTATTTTCCAAAGTTTGGAATCTAGATGAAGCTATACTCAAAGAATTACCCAGTTGGGACACATTATCTTTGAAGGGCAATTGTACTTTGAAATGTCCATCTTGAGTTCTTTGAAAAGTTTTTGCAAACAACTGTTCGCACTCAAGTTCTTCCTGCGTAAAGATGCATTCCTTTTCAGAACAGTCTTCTATGTGCCAGAATGCTTCTAGTTGATTTGCTAAAATGCTGATTTCCGATGACTGAGAAAAATTACAAACAAAATTTTCTGGAATAAAATCAGGACAAAAGTTCCCACCGAAAACAAAACCCAATTTTGTTGATTGCAATATAGGCTTATTGGGTCCCAGATTAATTTGAGTAGGTAACAGTAAATTATAAAAAATAGACCCACCAATTAAAATGTCAATTTCGGCAGAATAATTGAAATGAGGATCAGCTAAGGTTATGTCATTTGGAATATTTAAATTATCAACTTCGAAACTATTTTGTGGCAAATTGTCAGTTATTCGATCTATAATTAAAAATTTTAAATTAAATGCATTATTATTTAATTTGGAATGCAGTTTAGTTTCAACAGATTTCTTGATATGCGAAGTTACATTATTTATCCCAATTATTGGAGTATTCACTTTAATATAAGGTAATTTCAATTTTTTAAACAATTGAGTTGACATGAAATTTGTTTGAGAAGCACTATCAAGAAGTGCTCTGCACAAAACAGGCTTATTTTCACGATCCATTATAAAAACTTCAGCAGTAGATAATAAAGTTAAAGTTAAACTATTATATTTACTGTTAAAACAATCAACAGGTATTTCCGACTCTGGATTTATATTCTGACAACATTGCAAATTTGAAGATTGGGTTTGTGAACAATAAGCTAGGTCATTTCAATAAGAGCTTCCAACTGAATTTTCAGCCTTTTTATTATTGTTATTAGATATTAGGAGGTGCAATAAAATATGGTGTTTTTTATTGCACTTGTTACAAGTTTTAGTAATTGAACAAGATCGATTGTTATGGACTCGGCGGAGACAGTTTGTACATAAATTCAACTCTCTGGCCTTCTCCAATCTTAAGGAAGAACTCAATTTTAGAAATTCATGACAGTATGTAATGCCATGCTCATTATTCTTACACAAAACACAATAAAACTTTTGAGTTACAAGATTAACTGATTTATTCGACTTTTTATTGTTAATATTATGATTTATAAAATTATTATCCAAATTTTTACTGTCGATTGATTCCAACAACAAACATCTGTCAGTTAAAAACTGAATAAAATTATCAATTTCTGGTGAAACAATATCCTTTGTTTTAATTTCCCATTCTCGCTTGGTGGATATGTCCATTTTTGATATGAGCAAATAAATAAGCATGGAATTACATG